AACGTGCAACTCAGGTTCAAATCCCTGACCGTCCAGCGCCTTGGGACGTCCTCCCGCCGTGAAAGGCGCCGTGTAAATATAGTTTGTTGTTGTTGTTTGTCTACGGACTCATTTGTATAAGGGAAAGTTGTTGTTGTTGTTGTTGTACAGCAATGACGGCGCTTCCACAGGAAGACAATGTTCCTAAAGCAAAAACCATACCGTTCACTTAGAACCAGTTTCCAGACAGAGCGCAAGGATTCAAGAACATCTCTCCATCTCCGTTTCCTAAGGAGGTTTTAAACTGTTCTTTCCACGGGTCGTAGATTAATATTTGAGAATGTATGGAGAAAAGGGGGGAGTAAAACCAGAACAAATCTGCGGAAACACTACTTCAGTGAGCGAGGAGTAAAAGTACGGAACAGGCTCCCTGGGGAGACAGACGGTTGAAGCAGAAAGTTTTGATTCTTTCAAGAACAAATGAGATAGATTTCTGTTAGGAAACAATATCTGGGGGATACAGTATAATAGTTTGGGACACGACACATCAAATGACGGCCAGGATGGGTGGAATTGGTCTTCTTTCATCGGGCAAACTCTTAGGTTCTTAAAAGGCAGAGTGGAATTAAATGGACCGCTGTGTCCGTGAGTCACTTTCTTCTGTACTGTAAATTGATACGGGATCAAAGGCGCCTTCAGGTCTCTCAGGCAAAGTGGCCTATTCTTTACTTAAAGCTTCAGCAGTGAGCATCAATCAGTGAGTTAATCAACATATTTTCACACATATATATATATAAAATAAACCACAGCCCAAATCAGTACTTCCCTCACTGGATGTTCCCACATTCGTGCAAAGCTTCTAAGAGAAGGCTGGAGAGAAACGATCAGGAGAGGGGACCCTGCCTGATTTCTGCCCCCACTGGCTCCCCCACTGGTTCAATTTCAAGATCCTCGCCCTCATTTTCAAATCCATCCGTGCCCTTGCACTTCCCTACCTCTACCGCCTGCTTACTGCCCAACTCACAGCCTCCGCACGCCTCCTGCTTGTCCCTCGTGCTCTCCGTCCCACCAACGGTGGCCGCACTTTCAGCCACTAACACCACAAAACCCTGGAACACTCAACCTTTATCCCTCTGCCTTGCCCCCTCAATTCTCCATCTTCAGATCGCGCCTGATAGACCTTCCTCTTCGACTGTGCCTACGGTCACCTCACCCCGGTGTCGTGCTCCGCCATTGCCAAGCGCTCTGGGACGCTACCCTGAGTGAGGGGTGCTGTGTAAATGCAAGTTGTTGTTGAATGGCACGGAAGTCACTGTGTTCCTCGCTGACAGCAGCTAACAGCACAGACTAGCATTCGATTCTCCAAACGTCTGGTCTATGTGGTCCACAGCTAACCCAATCCGTCCGATCTTGACTCGCTATTGCTACCTTTCACTCTCCTTCAGTCAAACTGAACGTGCATTTTGCAAAGCACACGTAAAGATGAGAAATCAATAACAACGAGAATCGGGAGGCGGGAAAAATAGGCGTAGGAATAAAGCAATGTAGATGCTGAAAGCAAACATGGACCACAAACAAGCTAGAAAGTCATTCTCTGCGTGGAGTGCTAAATGCAATAATCCTATAACAATCCTTGCATTTGATATCACGTCTTCGAGACATCTCAAAGCGCTTCACAGAATATACTGTAAAGCGAATTGACTGAGGTTTGTGGGCGAAATGCAGCAGCCAATTGCGCACAGCAGCGTCCCACAAACAATCGTGAATTAAGTGAACAAATTATTATTTTTTTATTCTTATAAATTTTTTTAAAAAGGATTATTACTCCCGGAATAGCGATCCGCCAACTAATAACCGGGTTACAGAGGTGTGTGTGGAGTAAGGAAACTTGCCCAACATTTTGCCCTTCAATTAACATGCAAATTGTTTTCTTTCTCATTTCAAAGGTATGCAGTTTTGCTCCAGTGGAGATCAAATATCTATACGTCAGTTGAATGAACATTTGCTTAATAAATCCCCAGTGATAATGAACGCCACGCGTCCAATCTCTTTACTGCACTGACTTGCATGATGGCAGCGAAAGCAACAATTTTGGGCGCGCAAGACAGAAAAAGAGAGAGAGAGAGAGAGAGAGAGAGAGGTGGGGGAAATGGGAGAGTGAGGGAGAAAGGAAAAGAAACGTAATTGGGTCTGTAAAGTACATGAATGTAATGTCTGTGCTGCTGAAGGCATGTCGGCAATAATAATAATCCTTGCATTTGATACAGCGCTTTATCACGTCTTCGAGACGTCTCAAAGCGCTTCACAGAATATATTGTAAAGTGAATCGACTATATTTTGTGGGAGAAAAGCAGCGGCCAGTGTTCCACAAACAGTCGTGGATTGAGTGACCACATTATCAATATTTATTTTGTAGGTACCTCGGGATTTCTGTGTGTGGTTTACGATTGCAGTGAAGTGTCGACAACTGGGATGGAATGAACTGTGAAGAGAGATCCTCGGTGAATTCTAGGATACCAGAGCCTGTGGATGGCTCCTACTGTATCTGGACATTAAAGGCATTGAACAAAATAATAAAAGTGCTGAGGTCTAGATGCTGAGATTAGTTAAGCTCTCATGAGGGTAACATATCAGGTAGAATCGCTTCACTGATCATGGCTGGAAAATGTGCGTGTGTTATTGTCAGGTGAAGACAGGACATGGTTCAGCTGTGATGCCCCCCCCAAACTCAGTGTGTCCACTCGCTATCCTGGTTCGGGTGGCATGGTCAGGGATCTGGGAAGCCTGGCAACAGGCGCATGGCAGCTCTACACCATCACCTTCAGCATAGGCGGGGGGGGGGGGGGGGAAAACCAGGAAGGGATGGAAAATGACCCACCCACGAGATCCCAAATCAAACTACAATTAAAACGAGTGCAGTGCATGATCACCTGACAGAAAAATAGGCTGAATTTTTGGAGCGCACACAGCATTGACTGTGAAGATGGAGCATAATAATAATATTAATAAAAATGCCAAAAAAGGGGGTCCCCAACACACAACTAACTGCTCACAGCACAGAAAATCCCTCCCTCTCGCTCCCACCCTCCGAGCTATAAAGGCAAGACTGGGGGGGGGGTGGGGGTGGGTGGGGAGGGGAGGGAGGGAGGTGGGGAGGGGAGGGAGTAGGGTAGAGAAGAGAAAAGTTACCAAGTGAAAAATGCATACAATTTAATCAAAACTAAAGCACCGGATCCCCACGTCGTGAAAACACAAACAAAGTGATGTTTTGTTAATAAACAGATATTATATTATATTAAATTGAATAAAACCCTCAAGTGACACACACTAAAGAAATTGCATTAGTGACCGGCCGGCATGCGGGCACTAATTTGTCGATGCGGGACTTCGAGTTTTAAAACACACTGAACTGAGGTGATGGAAATTGAATCAAAGAGACGATTTCCTTTAGTTTGTTGCAGGAAAACATCTGTTAAAAACCTCCCTCTCTCCTTAACACGGCTCATAGTTATAAATAAATAATAATAATCATATTATTATTTATTATTATTATTATTAACATGGCTCATGGTTATAGTGACAGTTCACAAGTGTGTAATGCTACACATTATTTTACATACAGTAAAACTCCTGATAATTTGACCGGGTTTAACTGGTCACTGACTCTTTAACGATAATAGTCCTTTGCATTTGACGTAGCGCCATATCACGTCTTCGAGACGTCTCAAAGCGCTTCACTTGTGGGCCAAACGCGGCAGCCAATTGCGCGCAGCGGGTACCAATATCCTGGCTGCTGCCCATGCAAAATATTACTAAGGGCTCTTCGAATCGACCGGCGATCCCTCCGTGACGCATCTGAGCGTGGGTGCCCAACCTCTGCCGAGCGTCTTCAGGGGCCACAGCGCCACCTTGTGGCCTGGGAGGACTTAACGAGCCGTTCGGGACAACTAATCGCTAAACTCTTTTTCCTTGGGAGTTATCTGGAGTTTATTGGGTACGTCTATTGCTTATCATTACACACGCGACTGTACTGCTCGGTCTAATCTTTATCAGTGCTTTGACGCTTGAGGAAGGGGTCATTATTTGTGGACATGTGAAGGGGATTTATTGTGAACACTGCAAAGAGGCAACTCTTTCTCTCTCTCTCTCTCTCTCTGACTGATGGGGACCGTTTTCAATCTGGTCACCATCAAGAGCCTCAGTGGCAATGTCAAATTTGAAATATAATAAAACAAAAAGCTTTTAAAAGTTGGTAGAAATTACACCCGAACAATTGTTGGGACAAAGCAAAAGGGGACCACACGAGACTGCGCACTTTGTGCCAATGCCATCAATTCCCGGGTGGCATCATTTGAAATAATAATAATCCTCGCATTTGACCCAGCGCCTTATCACACCTTCGAGACGCCTCAAAGCGCTTCACGGGATACACTGTGAAGTGAATTGACTGTGTATTTTGTGAGAGAAATAAGAAGCAAAATTTTTAAAAAATTAATAAGAGGAGTCAAAAGACGCCTTTTCTTTTTTTTTTTGCAAGTTTACAAAAGCCACTGAAGATCGATGTCATACACGTAGCTTTGCACCAAAGGAAACGCTGCTCGATAAGAGTCCTTAAAAAGCAGCTCAAACCCTCACAAAAGAGGCTCACTGCTAAGCAAGCTGCAGCGCCAGATGTGTATATACACCTTTAAATAATCATAATAATCCTTGCATTTGATACAGGGCCTTATCAAGTCTTCGAGACGTCTCAAAGAGCTTCACAGAATATACTGTAAAGTGTAATGACGGTATATTTTGCGGGTAAAACGCAGCAGCCAATTGCGCACAGCAGTGTCCTCACACACAGCGGTGGATTGAGTGACCAAATTATTATTATTATTATCATTATTATTATTTTTGATGGGATTAGCAAGTACTGCACAGAAATACAATCCGTTTGGAAATCTAAATGACTAAATAACCCTCTGCTAAAACATTAAAGTGCTATATAAAAGCATCTCAGGTGAGCGATCGCGACTTACTTCTCTTTTTCTTCAGGTGTGGCTCCTCGTCCTCGGAGGGCATGGACGAGCTGGGGGGGCAATCGAGAAGGCTGCCTTGGCTCAGATCTGTGGGGATGAGGCACTCGGACTGCAGCATGGTATCTGCCTCGAGAGTCTTGTGCACCCCGGGTGAAGCTGGGAACGTTTGCTGGACGAGTTTGGGCTGGGCAGGTTCGAGCTTCACCATCTTACCCACCGGCGGTGAGCAGCGCTCCAATGGCAGCTCCTTAGGCGAGGGCTTGACGTGGTTCTTGTAGGGCTTTGGGATGGGGCGTTCAGGAGGGCCCGGCGGGGTGGCTGAGGGAAGGGTGGGCTTCTGACGGATCCATTCCCTCAGCGTGTCGATCGGGGAGCCGTTGATGTGCCACTCGGTCACCCCGAATTGCCTAAGGTGGGCCCGGGCGTGGCTAGCTAAAGCTTTCCGGTTCTCAAAGTAGTGGCCGCACAGTTCACAGCAGGTATCCGCAGCTGCAAGTGAAGAGGTGACGGAAAAAGAAAAAACTTTGCAAATAACTGGCTCTCGTCACAACGCCTCAAAGCGGGCAAAGTGTAGGAAGGTATATTTCAGCGCTCCGGGACGCTATCCCGCATGAAGACCGCTATATAAATGCAAGTTGTTGAAAATATTTTGAAACAAAAACAAACCTTTCAGCCCCCCACAACAACTTGTGTTTACACAACGGGGGCAGTGTCTCAGAGCACTTAACAGTGGCAGAGCCTGACGCCAAGCCAGGGGGAGGGTAAAGGAAGCAGGTAAAGAAAGGAGGTGACCAGAAGCACGGTTGAAGAGGAAGGTCTTCAGTCATGATCTAAAAAAAAAGGGGGTGGGGGGAGAAGGAGGGGGAGGGATTGGGGCAAGAGAGTTCCAAAACTTCGGGGCGTAGTGGCTGAAAGAGTGGCTGCCAGCCAAGCGGAGGCAGCGGGTATTGGAATGGGTAAAAAGCAGGTCAGATAGGTAGGGAGGTGCCAGGGCGTGAAGGGAACTTGTTGACAAGTCAGAGAATCTTGAAATCGACCCGTTCTGTGACAGGGAGTCAGTGGGGTCTCGCGAGGACTGGTGTGATGTGGGTATGGAGTTTAGTGTGTGTGATAGGGAGCCTGGCGAGGGCTGGTGTGATGGGGGTACGGAGATCAGTATGTGTGATAGGGAGCCAGTGGAGCCTGGCGAGGAGAAACAGGAAAAAGAAAAGCAGGACTATTAAAAGCAGCTCGACTTACAGATTCCTGGGGACGTTGGTACCTTCTGTGGGGACCAGGCAGACTTTGGTTTGTAGGAGCCGGTTTCTGAAGGGGGGTAGTTTGGTTTCAGCTCTGCCGACACACTCCCTCCCTCCGCCGTCAGTTTCTTCTGGGGGGCAGTCGACACAAACCCCATTGGTATCTTCTTGCCTATCGGCGAGACGGGCTGCGGCTGGCTGTTGGGCAAGTAGCTTAACACTTTCCCTGAGGAAGGCGAGAGGAGGTCTTGTTGCAGCTCTTTGACGGACGACTTGATGATGTACGGTTTGGAAACAGCTCTGTCCTCGTACAGGTAGTTTGGTGGCTCCTGTTGTGGCTCATGCCTAAAGGGGCCGGATTTGCCCTTCCTCTTCACCAGCTTCCGTAGTGTGGCTATCGGGGACCCATTAACCGTCCACTCCGTCACCCCGAACTGCCTCAGGTGTGACCTGGCGTGGCTGGACAGTCCCTTGCGGTTCTCAAAATAATCTCCGCAGAATTCACAGCGGATCGCCTTGCTGGGTTGATTAACTGCTAACCAAACAAAGAGACAAGTTGTACTTTCCGTGTGCCAAGCGTGGGGAGGAGTGGGATAGGATGGGCTTTTTACGGACATCGAGGCGATGGATAGTCACACGTTTCTCGGCACTCAGGCACTCCAAAGTCAGAGGAAGAATAAAGCTCCCCGACTCCTGTGCCCTGACAATACACATTGCCCTTCTTTTTGCCCTCAACACCCACCAACAGCCTCCAAAGAGGTGGCAACTTAATCAAGCGGCTCAGAAAGCTTCATGAACCACTTGGTTTATGCAAGTTGCCATCGGCCTCTCTCTCTGTCCACCTTTTGCAACTCCATCCCACAGTTCCCTACTTCGCCTCCTCCCTGGTCTCCTTCAAGGCCCATCTCAAGACCTTCCTCTTAGACTGCACGTGTCTTAAATCTCCCGTAATAATAATCCTTGCAGTCCATATAGCGCCTTATCACGTCTTCTGGACACCACAAAGCGCTTCACAGAATAGACTGTGACATGAACTGACTGTTTTGTGGGCGAAACGTGGCAGCCAATTGCTCACAGCAGTGTCCCCACAAACAGTCGTGGATTAAATAACCAAATTATTATTTTTTTTTAAAAGAGGATTATTACCCCCATAAAAGCGATCCGCCAATTGACGTACAACCGGGCTCCTACTTATCGCTAGGTAAACAGAGGTGTGTGTGTGTGTGTGTGTGTGTGTGTGTGTGTGTGTGTGTAGTAAGGAAACATGCCCAAAGTTTCGCCCCGACCCTCCTGGAAATCGAACTCGGGTCCTCCCGCTCGCGAGGCGAGTGCTTTGACCACTATGCAGCAGGACTCCACATTTCCACAACAACGAGTTCAGGCAGCGACAAAAAAAGGCAGACAAATGCAGGCCCATACGAGCTTCACCATCACAGGCAGCTAATAGCCTGGTCGGTAACACTTTAACACACTAACTGCAAACTCCCTGACAGGTACACAAGCCGTATGAGCAAAGACAGACGCAAAGACCTACTTAGATGGAGGGGCGCGGCGCCATCTTGCCACATCTGTTGCGACGAGAACTGCTCACTCTTCAGCGAGCCCGCTGCCTCCTCCGGGTTGAACTCCACTTTCACGTACTCTTGCTTGACTTTCTTCAGCGGGGCCGGTTTCATCTTCTTCAGAGGGGGTGGGGAGAGATAGCCCCCTCCCACCTTCTTGGGGACCAGCGAGCCGGAGGGAACCTCTCCGATGGGGGAAATGTTCAGACTGAACTTGGAGGACTTGTTGGCCGGCTGCGGATAACGTTCGTCTACGAGCTGATCGGAGGTGGATTTCATCAGGTTTCCCGACGGTTTCGAGGGCATTTTGTGGCCGGACATGGTCATCGATCCCGGAGCGTGGATCTTTCTCTTCATCAGTTCCTTCAGGGTGTCGATCGGGGAACCGTTGACAGTCCACTCGGTCACCCCGAACTGCCTGAGGTGGGACCTGGCGTGGCTCGACAGCCCCTTTCGGTTCTCAAAATAATCGCCGCAGAATTCACAGCGCGTGTCTTTGCTGGGATGCGAACCAATGGCTGGGAAAGAAAGGGAAGGGAAAGCCAGTAAATTTCAACAAAAATAATTATCACTCCTTCTAACTCTTCCTTATCCTCTCTAGGACAATTGGGGCAAACTAAAACCCAGCGAAAAATCTGTCACTAAACTGCAGCATTGTCCACCTCAAGACCCCCCCCCCCCCATTATCCCACCCGTTCCGTACCCTCGGTCTCCACACTCAACAAATCGGTTCGATTTCCGGGCGGGACGAAGCCTTAGGCAAGCTTCCTTACTTTACACACATGCCTCTGTTTACCAAGCAGTAAATAGAAACCTGGTTGTTAATCGTGGCAGATCGCTTTTCCTGGGATAATAATCCCTCCCAAAAAAATAATAATGTGGCCACTCAATCCACTACAGTTCGTGGGACAATGCTGTGCGCAATTGGCTGCCGCTTTTCACCCACAAAACAGTCTACACTTTACAGTATATTCTGCGAAACGCTTTAAGACGTCTCAAAGATGTGATAAAGCAAGGGTTATTATTATTATATCATCGACTCTCCAGCACCTTGGGACATCCTCCTGAACGTAAAGGTGGTATATAAATGTACGTTTGTTGTAGCTGTGATGTTCTGCACACCAGAGCTGGTCAGATAATAATTTATAATAAAAAATACTAATGTGGACATTAAATACACGACTGTTTGTGAGACGCTGCTGTGCGCCATTGGCTGCCGCATTTCGCCCACAAAGTATACAGTCGATTCAGTGTATCCCGTGAAGAGCTTTGAGACGTCTATAAGACGTGATAAGGTACTACATCGAATGTGAGTATTATTATTATTACATAGATTGATAGGTGATGTTGCCCAGTACGGTTCTGACGGCAGCCCATTCGGGTCTCTCGAAGTCATGGAGACCCCAGACTCCATTTGCACTCGCATGGTCACGTGTTTGGGCTTCTTCTGCGAGGACATGGAAGGGGACTTCACAGAGGGAGACTTCATGGAGGGCGATTTCAACGAGGACGACTTCATTGAGAGCGATTTGGCCGAGGGGGATTTGACAGAAGGAGACTTGAGAGGAGATTTCGCAGATTCCTTCTTGCCCGCTGCTGTCTCCAAGGCAGATTTGAAATGGCTTCTGCCCTCTTTCAGGAGGGAATTCTGGTCGTAATTGTGTGTCTTCTCCGAGGGCACCATGGTTGACAAAGCGCCCTGGATCCCTTTCTTCCTAATGAACTCGTTCAGAGCTTCGATGGGTGATCCTTTAGAATCCACGTCCACAGCGCCAAAGTGTCTCAGATGAGCTCGGGAATGGCTGGAGAGCCCCTTCCGCGTTTCAAAGCAGGCACCACACAACTGGCAGCTTATGTGCTCACTATTCACAGCTGCGAATGGGAGAGAAAGAAAAAAAAAAGGATTTAAACAGATAGTATAACATCTGCACCCACCAGTCTTTGGCATTTGTGGAGTTCCTTAGGGTAACAGTTAGCATGCTCGCCTCACAAGCAAGAGGACCTGGATTCAATTCCCGGTCAGGGCGAAACCCTTGGCAAGTTTCCCTACTCCACACACAGGTCTCTGTTTACCCAGCAGTAAGTAGGAACCCGGTTGTTAGTTGACTGGTGGATCGCTTTTCCGGGGGTAATAATCCCTTCAAAATAAATAAATTAATAAGAAGAATTTAGTCACTGAAATCCACGACTGTTTGTGGGACACTGCTGCGCGAAATTGGCTGCCACATTTCGCCCACAAAATGTACAGTCAATCCACTTGACAGTATATTCTGTGAAGCTCTGTGAGACGTCTCGAAGATGTGATAAGGCGCTGTATCAAATGCAAGGATTATTCTTATTGTTATACACTGACAATGACCAGCACTTACTGAGGTTTAAGGGCGTGTTGTTGTCTTGGGGAGACCAGAACAGTTTCTTGGACAGCAGCTCTCCTGAAGTCTGAGGAGTGTTCAACGGAGGAGCCTCGGATTTCTCTTGATCTGGAGATTTATTGGACAACGGCTTTGGTAAGATGGGATGTATTTTTTTGAGTGGCGACGGGGCCGTGGGAGACTGCCCCTTGGACGGGCTGCCCATGGCCAGTTTTGGTGATTTAGGTGTGTGCGTGGTTTCGTCCTGAAATTCTTCTCCGGGCAATTTACCGGAAGCCCCCTGCTTTATAGCGGAGCCTTCCTTTGGTGCGTAGCTTGGTGGCTTGCCACTGGCCAACGCTGAGGGTAAAACACTAGGAATCCCCTTCCTTTTCATCAGTTCGTACAGTGTCCCGATGGGAGCACCGCTGCTCTCTGAGTCTGACACTCCGAACTGTCTCAGGTGGAAACGCGCGTGGCTGGACAGACCTTTACGAGTCTCAAAGCAGGTCCCACACAACTGACACGAATTCAGCACTAAAATGAGAAACAAACAAAAAAAAGTCGATCAATCCCGGACTTCCACACTCGGGTTTTATTAACAACTTGCATTTCTATAGCGTCCGTCACGCGGGGTGACCTCCGGCTCCTGCACGTCCCTCATGCCCTCCGTTCCATCATCGGTTGCCGCGCTTTCTGCCCCGATACTCTGGAACACTCTTCCTCTATCCCTCAACCTTGCTCCTTCCTTCCGCACCTTCAGGTCGCGCCTGAAGACCTTTCTCTGCGACCGTGCTTGCGGTCACCTCCCCCTGGCTCAGTGTCTACCCCGCGTGAGGGGCGTTATATAAATGCAAGTTGTTTGTTTTTGTTGTTGAAAATAGAATGGGATTGACTGCCAGGTCTGGAGAGAAGGTAAATGAGCAGACAAGTACTTTCCATCACTGAGACTCACCTACTTACCACTTCAGAGGCCTCAAAAAGAGTGCTTTCGCTCAGAATACGTTCAGGGCTCGACAACCAGTTTGTACTGAACAGAGAGATAGATAGACGCAGCAGTGCCAATGGGATAAGTTAAGGTGAATTCCCCTCCCACAGAGAGTGCCCTAATTAGTTCACTGGTGACTCAACACGTTGCTGGGTTTACAGACTGAGGCACTGCACTCGAGGCACTCCTCCCCTCCTCTCTCCATCAGTTTTTATACCAAGTCAGAGGTGCGGTCACCCCAGTCAATAAATCATTGATATCAAATATAGTGAGTGAATCAACCAGCCAAGAAGGCAGCACAAAAAACGCTGAGACTAGCTGTAAAACGGGTTTTACTCCAAAACTATCCGGTGGTCCTAACTGGACAAGCAGCAGGAAAGTTTGCCAGACAGCAATATCAACAGCAAGCTGTGCGGTTTTAGTTGGTTAGGCTCCAGCAGTTACCAGAACGCACTCTCTGGGCTTCCCCCCCCAAGCCTAAGCTGTTGTCAACCTGCGCCTAATACTTTCCGGAATTAGGGAGGGAGAGTGAAAGAGAGTGAGAGAGAGTGAGAGTGAGAGAGAGAGAGAGAGAGAGAGAGCGAGAGAGAGTGAATGCACATTCCAACAATCTATCTCCGGGATTTCCACGTGTAGGTGGGATGCATGGAAATCTCAGTTTGGTTTGGAGACACTTTAAGCAACGGTGATGGGTTTCTACATGTGTCACACATCCGGCTGACCAAACAAAAAGTTTTTTGCTCCCTCGCTATCATAGCCCCATATCCAGGTCCACTCCAGAGTCTGATAAACAGGCATTCAGAAAATACTCTATCGGGAGTCCCAAGAACGACCTAGCGAACGTTTGAGGAAAATCATCATTCAATCTTTTTAGGCTGCGGTAAACAGAACCACAATGCGGTTACATTCAACCTCTGGTCAATTAGTACACTCAATTTATTTTCCTTCACTCAACCACAGACTGTTTCGCACCTGCTATTTCTAATAATGATCGCTGCATTTGATAAAGAGGCTCATCCCCTCTTCGCAACGTCTCAAAATGTCTCACAGGATATACTGTAAAGTGAATTGACTATGTATATTGTAGGTGAAACTCAGCAGCCAATTGCGCACAGCAGTGTCAAGCAAACAGTTGTGGATTGAGTGACCAAATTATTTTATCAGAGCGCTTGACAATGTCGAGCTGTGGGCACGGTCAAAGAGGAGGGTCTTCAGGGTGACCTGAAGTGGGCGAAGGAAGGGGCAAGACGGAGAGATAGAGGGAGAGTGTTCCAGGGTTTCAGGGCGCAGTGGCTGAAAGCGCGTCCACCAATTGTCGAGTGGAGGGCACGAGCAACAAGCAGGAGGCCGGAACCAGTCGAGTGGAGGCTGCCAGGACCTGAAGGGATTTGAAGACGGATTTGAGCTTCTTGAAACTGAATCAGAACCATAACCATGACACTGACCCTCCGATTCCCGCTAATTAGTTTACAACTTAAGTTGCTCTCACAGGCTTTCAATTTTACTTTCGCTGAGGCGTCTTCTCTCAAATGCCTTCTGAAAAATAACAAGCGTTTAAAAAAATACATAAAGCGTGAACTTCCCATCTCCCGGACTGGTTCCAGGTGAGATACAACAATCAACAGCAAGCCAAGGCGATCCATCCCACAGTCCCTCCGGCCTCGCCCCCACCCTCGCCTCCTTCAAGACGAGTCTCAAGACCCTCCTCTTCGACCGTGCCATCGGCCACCCTCCTAACCCAACCCAACACTACCCTCCACCCCTCCTGATCCCTACCCCCTGCTCGGGTCGAAATTCCTGACTGTCCAGCGCCTTGGGACGTCTTCCTGATGTGAAAGGCGCTATACAAAGGTAATTTGTGGTTCTTAATCACAAGGTGGGTAGGAAGCCAAGGTAGGTAACACTTTTTTTTTATCCATTGGGTGCCTGACACGTGCGGAAACCCACCACCGTGCTTAAGAGTATCCAGACCAAGCTGAGAATTCAATGCACCCCACCGACACATGGAGATAGATTGTTGAAATGCAATGCACACTCTTTCTCCCTCCCTGGAGGGATGCATCCTGCTTACCTAATTCCGGAGAGTATTATGCAGAAGGTTGGCAAGAGCCAAGGCTTGGGGGGTGGGTGGGGGGGGGGGAAAGAGTCCAGAGTGTGCGTTGGGGTAACTGCGGGAGTCTAACCAGCTAAAACCGCGTAGCTTGCCATTGATATCGCTGTTTGGCAAGCTTTCCCGCTACCTCAGGCTGGATGAGCGCAAATTTCCTTCAGCTGAGTGTTGACAAGACGGAAGCCATACTCTTTGGCTCTCGTCGACGTCTCTCACCTCCTCCACCTACCCAACCTCCCTCTAAAACTCTCCGAACCCGTACGCAACCTAGGCATCAGGTTCGATCCCCAATTATCCTTCCTCCCCCACATCCGATCCCTCACCAGCACTGCTTTCTTCCACCTCCGACGCATCGCCCGTCTCCACCAATACCTCTCCCCAAAAGCTGCTGAAACCCTGGTCCGTGCCTTTGTCATCTCTCGGCTGGACTACTCTAACGCCCTCCTCGCCGGTCTCCCCTCCACTACCATCCATAAAATCCAAATCATTCAAAACTCTGCCGCCCGCATTCTCACCCTCACAAAAGTCAGCTCCCCGATCACCCCAGTCCTTGCCAGACTGCACCGGCTGCCTATCTCAGAGAGGATCGATTTCAAGATCCTCACCCTTGTATTCAAGTCCCTGCACTCCTCTGCTCCCCCCTACCTTTCTGACCTCTCTCCTCAAAACAGTACCCGTTGCCTTCGTTCCTCCGGGTCTGGCCTCCTCCTCGTCCCCCGAGTCCTCTGCTCCACCCTCGGCGGCCGTGCCTTCAGTCACTATGCCCCGAGGCTCTGGAACTCCCTTCCTCACTCCCTTCGCCTCACCCCCTCTCTTCCTATTTTCAGGTCTCTGTTGAAGAACTTTCTTTTCGACCGCGCCTTTGGTCACCTTCCCCCCCACCTCCCCCATGGCTCGGTCCCTGGATCCGTTACTATGAAGTGCTCTGAGACTCCGTCCGGCGTGGAGGGTGCTATATAAATCCAAGTTGTTGTTGTCTGTCCAGCTCGCACCACTCTACCCATTAGGGCTTTGGCTTGCAGGGTAAACAGAATCTGAGTGGGTTGAGTCCCTACCCCCAGTGACTGGACTGCCCTTCCAGGTCCTGCCAATGAGTTAGGCTGGGCTGTCCTGTTCTTTCAATACGTCCATATTACTAACTATAACCTCGATGGTGAGGACTGGGCACTGTGTTCCCATGCTAGAGTTAACCATTAGTGATTACCACCTCAAGTGCTCATACATGAAAGCACATCCCTCCTCAAAGAGAACTCAATGTTTTACTGTACATAAAAAATAAAGTTAGTGAACAAAAGGAGTAGCTTCTGCATCGGGTTTCATCTCTGTTCAATTATTGATAAAAATATGACTCATGAGGGCTTCTTGTTCCCCTGGCACATTACATAAGGTGACAGTAGACCTTGGCACTATAATGATCAAATTCTTTTCAATATAGCAGGCGCATCGGACAAAATGCTGTATAAGTGGGGATGTGCTTATCATCAAGGAACGTCTGTCAATTCCTATGGGAATTCCACAGGGTGCAACCTTTCAAAAGCAATCATTTTATCCAGGTTTCTTTACAGCCAGTTACGAAATCCATATACTCCACATCTAAAGCATAGAGGGATTAAGGGATATGGGGATAAATCGGGCAGAAGGAGTTAGGCTAGAAGATCAGCCATGATCTTATTGAATGGCGGGGAAGGCTCAAAGGGTCGAATGGCCTACTCCTGCTCCTAATTCCTATGTTGCACAAGTGCTGGTCTATCAGTCGGAACAGAAGTTCAGACACTCTGCCCCCATCCTTTGGAACTCCATCCCACAGTCCCTTCGCCTCACTCCCTCCCTTGCCTCCTTCAAGGCCCGTCTCAAGACCCTCCTCTTCCACCGGGCCTCGGTCACCCCCATACCCACAAAATACAGTCACTATACTTTACAGTACATTCTGTGAAGCTCTTTGAGACATCTTGACAACCTGATAAGGCACTATATCAATTGCAAGGATTATCATTATCATTATTATTATAATTACCCCCACCCACCCTGCCCTCCACGTCTCCTGATTCCCCCCCAGCTCGGGTCCAAATCTCTGCCTGTCCAGCAGCTTGTGACATCCTCCTGAAGTGAAAGGCGATGTGTAAATGTGAATCTGTTGGGTGTTGCTTATCAATCCCTGAAACAATGGAGCTACCAGAACAAAGCTCCAAGTTCAGATAATAACCCTTTCTAATCAGCTAAGCAGGCAGCTGAACCATCTGTTTCTGTGAACAGAAGCAGATTCATGCGTAGCAATAAGAGGCAGCAGTACGTTCACCGGGTTAATTTCTGAGATCAGACTGTGAGCGCTTTAGAATGGAACAGTTTTTATTAAAGAAAACACTTACAATTCACCAACGTAGAATTGTACAGCGGAGGATTCAGCCTTTACAGCTTCTGATGGGGGTATCCAGGCCAAGGGGGGGCGGCATCGTCTTAAAATTAGAACGAGGCCATTTTAGGAGTGAAATCAGGAAGCAGTGTTTCACCCGGAGTAATGGAAATCTGGAACTTTCTCCCTCCCCCAAAAGCCTGTGGATTATGGCTGTGGATCCATTCACATTTTTGAGACTGAGATGGACACAGATTTGTGAGGTCGGGGTATCAAGGGATATGGCGCAAAGGCGGGTAATTGGAGTTGAGATACGGATCAGCCGTAAGCTTATAGAGTGATGGAACACACTCAAGGGGCTGAATGGCCTACTCCTGTTCCTATGTTCCTTTTATATATACATATATCATGTTTCACCCCCCAAAATACAGTCTTTTTGAGGTGAATCATAATGGCTCGAATGGTGAAATTCTGTGGAAGCTTTTGAGTCGTCTCAACCTCATGAGATAAATTTTTATATCAAATGCAAGGATTATTTATTATGCTCCCAGCCAGCTGTTTGACAGAGCTATCTGCCTTCTCACCCTTTTTATTTCTCAAATTTCCTTTCAGCTCTTATGGATTCTGCTTCAACCACAGTTTTTGTTAAAGCATTCCTCCCCCGTGTGTGAAAATAATTGATCCTAACCTCCCTCTCTCCCTTTGTTTTTATGAGAAGAACCTTAAATGTATGCCCTCTAGTGGAACTGCACTTAACGCTTTCAGAATGTCGTACACCTCTAAATGGTCTCAGTGAAAAAATCCCAGATTTTAGAACAATAATTCTTGCATTTGATATAGTGCGTTATCACGGTTGAGACATCGAAATCTATATTAGACCATAAGATGTAGGAGTACGCCATTCGACCCCTCGAGTCTGTCCCGCCATTAATAAGATCATGACTGATCTTCTAACCTAATTAAATATTTTACGGTCTAACCTTGTAGCTAAACCCGCTCATCTCCGACCTCTCTCAAAGGTATTTGCATCCTTCAAACCACATCTCGATTAAATTACCTTCGTATAACGCCTTTCACATCAGGAAGACGTCCCAAGGCGCTGGACAGTCAGGGATTTCGACCCGAGCAGGGGGTAAGCATCAGGAAGGGTAAAGGGTAGTGTTGGGTAGAGTTAGGAGAGTGGCCGATGGCACGGTCGAAGAAGAGGGTCTTAAGATGTGTCTTGAAGGAGGCAAGGTAGGGGGCGAGGCGGAGGGACTGTGGGATGGTGTTCCAAACGGTGGGGGCAGGGAGGATGAAGGCCTGACCGCCGATGGTGGGGGAGGCTGGATGGGGCACGTGTTGCAGGCCAGGGCCTGCAGATCGGAGTGAGCGGACAGGTTGATATGGCAACTTGATATTAAGCGCTTGAGATTCTACCCGCGTAAAGGGTACTATATAAATGCGAGTTGTTGTTTTTACTAAAGTGGAACTTCTAAACCAACACAATACCAATCACGTATCCAAGTTTAGCATCAAACAGGTCATGTCTAGCATGGTATGGCAGACTAAATCTGAAGAGTTAATCTAACCTCTCCGCTCCCTTAATGAGCCTTAATCTCAAAGCACTTGCTTTTTGAACCCATGTGTTATTCATCCAGTCCTCCTGTAGCCTCTGAAGAAACATTACCAGATTATGGACAGTTTTGTGCTCTTCAATTGCATTCCCTGGGAAATGCATCGGAATTGCCCCAAACACATTTTACACAGAACCATTCCAATCAATTGAAGAATCAAGACTTTCGTCCATTTAATCAGGATTGGAGATGAATTCAAATAATAATAATCATTTGCACCCGATGTAGTGCCTTATCACTTGTTAATGCGCTTCACAGGACTGATTGTAAATTGTAAAGTGAACTGATTGTATATTTTGCAGTCGAAATATGGCAGCTAACTGCACGTAGCTGTGTCTCATAAACAGTTGTGGATCAAGTGACCAAGTTATTATTTTTTAAAAATGTGTTATTAACCCCTGGAAAAGTGATCCACCAATCGACTAATAGCCAGGTTCCTATTTACTGCTAGGTAAACAGTTATTTTCCGGGGGTGATAATCCCTTCAAAATTATTTTAAAAATAATAATCTGGTCACTCAATCCATGACTGTTTGGTGGACGCTGCTGTGCGCAATTGGTTGCCACGTTTCGTGCACAAAATATACAGTCGCTCCACTTTACAGTGTATCCTGTGAAGCGCTTTGAGATGTCTCGAAGACATAAGGCACTAGATCAAATGCAAGCATTATTATCATCATGATTATTAGATCAAATGGAAGGACTATTATCATAATTGTTTTTGTTGCCCCTGTGGTTCAGGGACTAGTATTATAGACTCACGTTTGTTGGCCTGCAGTGACTGCTCCTCTCCGAGGGGAGCTGAGGCAGGTTTAGGAAGAGACTGTGGCTTGGAATGGACTGGAGTCCCCTGTGAGTTAGTGTCAATCGCTGTCACCGATCCATTTTTCTCCTGGAGGTCCGACTTTCCAGAGATGTGTTCCGATCTCAACTCCGACTCCAGGGTTGACACCTCTTCATCATCGGGATCGATTACCACCACTAGAGAGAGGGGGGGGAAAAAAAAGTATATATAGTGAGAGCAATTTAATTAAAATTGAGGCACTGTTTTCCTTATTTCTTTACAAGATTTACCATCCGAATTTCAATCAGGACAAAAGGCAAATCTTTTCCCATGTATTTACCATTGGCAACAATGCACCAAATCTCAGATAGCAGGGAAAGGGCGAAAAAAATCTACAACCTCTCCACCTCCAACTCCCTCAGTAATAACCCAAAAGCACAACTTCTAAGCTCTCACGTTCTGTCAACGACCGATTTCCCTTCCAGATATCGACCTCGCCGTTGGGGGACAATTAGTGTAGTTTAAAAAAAGCATCAGAACTACTAATTATAAGGCTTTTGCAGTCCTGTACAAGCCTGTGCTCCGTAGCCCAGGGATATGAAAATTAATCGGAACAGCTCAACTCACGCTCCGGCTGAGATGCAGCTTAATAATAATTCTTGAATTTGAATAAAGCGCCTTATCACGACTTTGAGACATCCCACAGCGCTTCACAGGATATACTGTAAAGTGGATTGATTGTACATTTTGTGGGCGAAACGTGGCAGCCAATTGCGCACAGCAGTGTCCCACAAAGAGTCGTGGATTGAGTGACCCCAATTTTTTTTAATATAAAAATCTTGGAAGGTATTATTAGCCCCGGAAAAGCGATCCACCGATCAACTTATCGATTCCTACCGACTGCTAGGCGAACACAGGCGTGTGGAGTGAGTAAACCTGCCTAAGGTTTGGCCCCACCCGGGAATCGAACCCAAGTCCACTCGCTTTCGATACGAATCCTCAGAACTCTGCAGCTCGTGTACTGTCCCGCACCAGGCTTCGGGACCACATCACTCCCACCCTCGCTCGCCTCCACTGGCTCCCCATCCCCCAGAGGATTGATTTCAAGATCCTCATCCTCACCTACAAGGCCATTCACGGCCTCGCTCCCTCCTCCCTCTCCGACCTACTATCCCCCTACCTACCTGCCCGTACCCTCCGTTCCTCTGGCTCCGGTCTGCTCCACGTCCCCCGCCCCAACCGCCCTACCATCGGTGGTCGGGCCTTCAGCCTCTCAGCCCCCAGGCTCTGGAACTCCATCCCCCAGTGCCTTCGCCGCTTCCTCCCTTTCCTCCTTCAAGGCCGGTCTCAAAACCTTTCTCTTTGACCGTGCCTTCAGCTCCCCTCTCGACTCTCTTCCCCCTCCTCGCTCCCTCCCTTCCCTCCCCTCACCCTGACCATTTCCCCCCTCCTCGCTCCCTCCCTTCCCTCCCCTCACCCTGACCATTTCCCCCCTCCTCGCTCCCTCCCTTCCCTCCCCTCACCCTGACCATTTCCCCCCTGCTCGGGTCATGACCCAACTGTGCAGCGCCTTGGGACTTCCTCCTGACGTGAAAGGCGCTTTATAAATGGAATCTTGTTGTTGTTGTTGTTGCTAACCCCTACACGGACAGGATTCCACTTGGAAGTCAGTCCACATCTTGGCTTTCATTACGCTTGGAATGGAAGAATGTTGTGAGCCTGCGACAATACTATTTTACATTTCCATTATATAAGAGGATCACGATTGCACTAACTACAGTCTGAGAGACAGACATAAAGAGGCCCACTTTACGTGACATCTGGCACATTATGCACCACCCGCTGTTATTTAGCTCAATATTACCAACAGTAATTTTATGTGCAATGAAAAACTCCCCAGTGTACCTGCATTGATCAGAAAGACCAAATAAACTGTGCAAAGGTTACAATCCACTAGCAAACTGCAGAAGTTAATGTACTGAGTAAAAGGGTCCAGTTGCTGGGGTGCGGAACGCCCTACTGAGTAAGATAGTCGAGTCCTATAGCTTAGTGATTAGAGCGCTTGCCTCGTAAGTGAGAGGTCCTGGGTTCGATTCCCGACCGGGCGAAACGTTGGGCAAGTTTCCTTACTCCACAAGGCCCTGTTTACCTAGCAATAAGTAGGAACCTGGTTGTTAAGTCAATTGGCAGATCGCTTTTCTGAGTAGATATATATTTTGATCACTCAATCCACACAATCCAGTGTGCGACACTGCTGTGCACAACTGGTTGCTGCGTTTCGCCCACAAAATATACAGTCAATCTACTTATAATAATAATAGTAATCCTTGCATTTGATATAGCGCTTTTCGCATCGGGAGGACGTCCCAAAGCGCTTCACAGAACACACTGTAAAGTGAAGTGACTGTATATTTGTGGGCGAACGCGGCAGCCAACTGCGCACAGCAATGTCCCACAAACAGTCGTGGATTGAAAATGACCAATTTATTATTGTTTTTGGTTTTGGAAGGAATATTATTAGGCTCTGTGTGGAGTAAGGAAACTTGCCCAAGGTTTTGCCCTGACCTGCCGGGGATTGAACTCAGGTCTCTCGCTTGCAAAGCGAGTGCTCTAACCACTGAGCTACAGGACTCCACGTATACTTTACCATATATTCTGTGAAGTGCTTTGAACCATCGCGAAGACATGATAAGGAGTTGTATCAAATGCAAGGATTATTATTAGTAGTATGTCTTCACACCCCCCACCCCACCACCTTCTAGTATCATCTAGTTTTAATTCACACCTTCAAATTTTCCCCTCAGTAACAATTCATGCACTGAAGCTGCAGCTGTAACCCAGATACTATTCTTGTCTGCACACAACACAAGACAGGAAATCACAGAGCGAAAACTATTTTAACAATTAACTGTGGATATTCTACAAGAATAGCGATCCGGAAAACTTTTTTTTTAAAAGATAAGAAACTTGCAAACGGAAGCAATTTTACTGCAAAGGTTCAAAGGAATAATAGAAGTATCTGAAAAACAGATTTAAAACATTGATTTATGTTTAAAAATAAAGACTGAGAACTATATTGATGCAGTATGTAAAATCTAGGAATGAAGATTTTTATTATAGGAATCCTAGTGGAATAAAACTGTGGGGGGGAAATAATCTTTTTTCCCCGCTTCTTGGCACAATCCAACCCTTGTTTTTATTACTTTAGAGACCGAGGATTAGCACACTGACTGCAGGGCCAACACTGGTGAATTCAAGACTTGCACAAAATCTACACGCACACTTCCCGTTAGACAATTAGATTATATGGGAGTGGGACCACTCGCCGATTTGGAGAACAATTGTGCATTTACATCAGCTATAGATAAGGGACGACTAACTCAGGATTCAGCCCCCGAAATATACAGTCAATTAATTCACTTTACGGTATATTCTGTGAAGCACTTGGGACGTCTCAAAGATGTGAAGCCTCGCCCCCTCTCTTGCCTCCTTCAAGACCTGTCTTAAGACCCTCCTCTTCGACCGTGACTTGGGGGCACCCTCCCTACCCTCCACCCCGCCTGATCCCAACCAGCAGCTCGAGTGTGGACTCCTGATGTGAAAGGCCCCATACCAATGTAATGTGTTGTCGATAAGGGGTTAGGGGGGATGCAAGGATTACTATTTGGATGACATTTTAAAAATAGCATTTCATCTGTATTTTCAGATGCTCCGTTAACATTTTATTATCCTGGCGTCTTGGCTAACATCTCCCCCCCCCCACCTCACCCACCTCCAGGTAAACTGGTCATTTACTGCACGACTGTCTGTGGAATTTTTTCTGTGCACATTCGGCGTTGCTGTATTCGTTTACAAAGACAGTCACTGCACTTGGAACACTTGATAGCTATGCTAAAGCGCTTCGAGAAGCAACCAATAACGCAGAGATACGGAAGTAGGACATTACTGCGTCAGCCTTTTGCTTCACTGAGAAAAAAATGCCCTCGAATTACTTCACCCATTTAGTTAACACTAACGACCTTCACGACAAATGTTTGGAAGCAGCGGCCAAACTCAACATTAAAAGTGTTGAGCTCGTCAAATAATCCAAAAAAAGGCAGCATTTCCCAAGCATGATTTTAAGAAACATTTTTGAAAACGAGAGAGGCAAATCTGGAATTCTCCTCTTCCCTTAAAAAGGCTGTGGATTATGGCTGGAACCATTCCCAGTCTCAAGACTGGGGTGGATAGAATTTTGTTAGGTCGGGGTATCAGGGGGACAAAGGCGGGTAATTGAAGTTGAGGCGGAGATCAACTATGATCTAATCGAATGGCGGAACAGGCTCAAGGTGCTGAATGACCTCCTCCTGTTCCTATGTAATGGCATCTGGAAGTTCATTATCATTACACCACAGATCATTCCTACGTGACAGGCCTTTATAAAATACCTTGAAAAGTGCACACATCTGATAAAAGTACTTTACCTACCTCCTGCGGTGTGCAATGCTGGCAGCAAGCCAGCCGAGGGTTTTTTTTTTTTGAATAGGTTATTTCAAGAACCATCTCTGCCCAAAAGCATCCCTTTGAGGCAGTAAATGGCCTTCGAAAAACAGATGACTGGGGCCAAATGCAGATGAGGAAGTGAAATAAAAATCAGCAGCTCAGCTCACACATGTATTCATTCATTCAATCAGTCTACGAGTCAGACAAAAACCTTGAAGTTTTGGACATATCCATTTCAAACCTTGATCCTTAAAGCTCAGTGCCACTATCTGCCACACAACGTAATGTATCCATCCATTCATTCCAGACTTCAATCGGGTAAATTATACAATAATGTGCAATATAAACTGAAAACCAGATGGTGTCTGAGGGGCCAATTTATAGCAAGACCATATGGCGAAATCTGAAAGAATATGCAACATACACACAGCGTCTGCAACGGACGGCCCTCCCCCCAATCATCTTCCAACAATTCACTCATCCCAGCCCTCAGTTCATGTCGATGTCTCCATCTTTACTAGACATGAACAACTTGCTCTTGTCCGGGACCTTTCATGTAGAAAGAACCCTCAGCAATGTTAAATTGCGATAGAATTTGAAAGGCAGAGAACATCTACTTGCATTTACACAGTGCCCTTCGTGCGGGATGCCTCTTATCAAGTCCCAGAGGGCTTGATAAGAGGCAGAGCGCGACGTTGACCGGGGGGGCGGGGAA